CCGATATTGAGTTGAGGTATTGGTAGTGTTTACAGTCTGGTGAATGAGGTAATCGGATCACACAGATTTCTTTGGCCAAACAAGCTATAACAGTTTAATTTTGCATAAAGAACACAAAATCATTGACCGTGTCAGCGGTGATTTAGCTATTGTAATTTAAAAAAATACAATAAATAACATCAGCATCTAAAGCATAATGGTGCTCTATAATGGTTCCATTTGGTTAACTTCAATGACAAATACAAAAGACACAAACGACCTTTTCCATATGTTATATAGGAGCCTAATCAATAAAACGGTATTGTGATTTAATATTCTTTGGATTAAACGAAGGTACAAAACATTCTCTATTCTTGTACGTAGATGAGACGTACTTTAATTATCATGACTGCGGCATAATGAATAAATGACTTTATGTAAATATAAATCCCCCCCCCCCCCCCCTTTATCTATTCACCCACCGCTCTTGGGGTGATTTGTTTGATACATTTTTCGAGAATATACGAAGACAACATTTCTGTTTTTAAAACTCTGTTTTGTAAGTAATTGTTAAAATGTTGATTATTTATAAATAACACAATACACTTTAAACCCTTAATAAATTTCCTAAGGGATTCTATTTCTTCAACCTCGCTCGGGTGACGTAGGTTTTGCTGAGCGCAAACTTAATCCATTAGATCAATACCAGACTTCATGTTTCTACTCGACCAAAGCCTTTTTCGTTTCACGTTTATCTTTATTTTACACTTAGGTTTCTTCCGATACCGTTTCATCTATATGAAATCTATAGAATTTGCGTTCTCATCATAATGTATATGCGATAAGTATAAAAAAGAAAAGTAATGGCCTATACATGTCCCACTGCTGGACAAAGACCTCTCTACGGATTGTTCGGTGTTTGTTCCCAAGGTGGGTTTTGACGTCAGATAACTAAAAAAAACTGGCCAATACCACTAATAGAACGTGCGAATCGTCGCACGTCCTGCCGGCCCCACATGAGTTGGACAAGGACAGGAGGAAAAAGCAGACGAAAAGATTTCTCTCTGTAAAATGATTAAAGGACAAAAAAGTGAATTGCAATATATATAACAATGAATCTCAACTAAGAATGAAATGATTACTGATATCAACAACAACAGATGACTCTTCACTTGATTGTATTATCGATTTATAATAAACTTAAATTAACATAGTGAAAGGAACAAAATGGTCTCAGGTCTGAAACATCTCGTCTTTAGTCTCTAGATAATTAATTTAATATATATTTTTTAACGCTTACGAAAACAACAATTGCCATAAAACATGTTACACAGTCTAAAAATGCAGCAATCGAATTTTGCAACTAACGTTTAATGAATAAAACCTTTTTTGTATGCTAGTAGATGGCAAGTGAGGCGACGGTTAACCTGATATTAAGTGAAATTCGCCCTTGGAAATTTGCCTTTTAATTTTTACGCCTTTTATATAAGACCAATAGGCCCATTTAACTCACTCACCAGACGAACCGCAGAAGTGTAACACTTCCATTTCACGCCAGTTTTCCGTCAGGTCGTGGTGCTTACCCTGAGGGACCTGCCCATTCATGCGACAGTGAAGACTGTTGCGTGGTTGCCCATTTACGTGGCCCTACAATTAAATTGAAGCAATAAATGAGTTGCCTGGTCTAAACAAGAAATGGTCTAAACAATTATTGCGCGCAATTTATTGCATTCAATTATTGCTCTTGTATGTTCAAGAAAATGGCATCGTGTAAATGGGCCTTTAGGCAGCTTTACATAGCAAAGATATCGTATTATATGAATTCCCGAAGTTCTATCAGGTGCCTCAAGTTAACGCCTCATTCGACTATCAAAACTAATTATCAATTCATCAAATCTTACTATCGAAATTTCATACATAGACATTTAGATAAACATTTAATCCATACGTTTCACCGAGCGTAGCTAATCCAAAACACAACAAAAAAAGTGTAAAAATTTAGCTTAAGTAAATAAAAGCCCAGACACCGGAAAAAACACACAATCTTTTTCCAGTAGTGGGGATCGAACCCACGCCTCTTATGTAAGAGCCAGGTTCTTTATCCACTACGCCAATCGGGTCGCCAAAGAAAAAGAAATATTTTCTAGAAATCGCAAGCTCTGAGAGTTGGCAGCGAAGTGGCCGCGTAAATCCTGAGATAAGATATATTAGTCTATACTAATACCTATAAACTAAGTCTATTAGGGGAATTATTTTGCCGAGTGGGGATTCATTCGGAGATAAGAGCCGAGGCACAGAATTCGGAGGTGTACAATAATCTGTTAACTAAGGGAGTGCACGCGATTCTTGTGCTAACTAATGTCGAGAAATTGTAATTAACAACGATAATTCCCTAAGCAATTAGATAAAAAATAGGAGATATACGGTGTAGACTTATTCAAAGCGATCAAATCGGTAAACTTTTATAAACGTCCGTATATATATATATATATGTGTGTGTATATATATATATATATGTGTATATATATATATAAATATGTTATATCAAATTTCATTAAATCTGATCCTTTAAGTATTTGTGCATTGAAAACGACATTAATTAAAATTTGACGTATAAAGCAAAAGAAAATGACTGGAAATTAACATAATATTGTGACTGGTGGTAACTTACGAACGTATTAATTTTTATGTAAAATTTTGGCATTTCATAAGAACGCGCAATTAAATATATTTTTGATTGATTTTGATTTTTGGTTGAAACGCTTTTATAAAATGACAAACGGAAAAAAAAGAAGTTTAATTATTGATACTTCACTATAATAATGAATTACAGTTGTTGATTGTCTTTACACAATGTAAGTGGAGATTAAAATACAACTTTTAATGAATTTCAATTTCAAAGAGCAAATAAAAAATATGGTCTAATAAGAGATACTTGATTTTACGAAAACGTACCTTCTACAACATCCGCAGCAGACTGAGATCTTTTGATTCTTTTGCGACTCTGCAACAAGGAAAGGTTTTTTCTCATAACTAGTAATAAGAGTAACTTTTTACTTTGGTTAAATATAACTTCACTTATAAATAAGGAGTTAATTGCTATTCTAGGTAAGAACAAGACTATATAATTTTATAATAACCTGTGACTGTTGTTTATAGTAACAAATATGAAAAAAATCTGAATTTTTAAACGATTAAATACATATTTGGTGCACTAAATTAATGGTTAAACACTAATCTTCATAAGTATAGCTATAAGTTGTACGTAGGTCATAAAAGTGCCCAATTGGTCGACGAACTTTTTATACTATGCGTTACGATTTCGCTTAAAATCTAATGATAGATTAGGATACCCTGCCAAGTCAATCATAACGCTTATAAATTTCAAGAGAACAGAAATGTTTAATAATTTCAGTCTGTTGTTATTTCACCGCTATACATAAAAATCGAATCAGACATTTTAGATAATAATAATCATATTACTTATACTGTATAAATGTAAAGTTAAGCGACGGAAACGGCTTAAACTTTCGCGAGAGTTTTGTAAGCCCTCGGACGTATGAAACATTTGACCCATAAAACTTTGACTTTTTAAATTGTATGCAAGCAAAGTCTTTGTGATCTGCCCGCTGTCCAACTCTATTCATCCAACTTTTTTAAACTCTGGAAATATTTCTTTATTCCTTAAGTAGAATAAGGAAAAATTTAAAAGAAATCGTAACCCATAATGCTGTGTTTCTAATAGATAAGTCGAACGGTAGCTGGCTGGTAGCAAAATAAAAATCCCAGTATCATAAGCTACCAGAAAACAGCGTAGGCGTGAGCCCGCTCCGTATGCTAGACAGCATCACTCCACGATTGTGACCAAAAAAGTATTGGAAACGGTTAAGACAATACTATATATGTGCACGACTATGCAGTTTCATAGCAATACCAAGCGGTGAAAAAATATTGAGTTTATTCGTAACTACTGCTGTCAATATGGCTGATACCAGCAGCTCGTCTTTTCGTGTATACCATGCCTCGACAATCGTTTGTAAGTCATGTTCTTACGACAATAGAAGGAAATTATCAAACAAAACTTTTCTATTTTTAATGAACGCGCTTACTAATTTTAAATATTATATAGATTATATTATACATTTGCTTGCTTTGCTTTTTATAATGAGTTATCTCTGAAAACACAGAGAAGATTCAGATTATTTTGGACTTACGAAAGCATATGATTCGTTTCCTTCAAATGATAGAGAATCATAAATTCGCAACAAAGAGCTGACTTACGTATAATGTGCATATATGTATACTAGCAACCCGCCATGGCTTCGCATGGGTGCAATGTATTATACACATAAACCTTCCTCTTGAATCACTCTGTCTATTAAAATAACCGCATCAAGATCCGTTGCGTAGTTTTAAAAATCTAAGCATACATAGGGACAGACAGCCAGAGAGAGCGGGACAACTTTGTTTTATACTATGTAGTGATGATTCACACATATTGATGTAAAATATACAAATAACTCGCGATACAGAAATATAGACTTAGGTTTTTCTTTACTGTGTGGCAGATTCACTGTAGCGTCAATGGGCAGCTTGTCCGAAGAAATGGAAGTATTATATTTTCGCGTCTCATCTGGTCAGTTAAATAACCGAAGAGGTTGATAGTGAGCTGAACTACACATATACGAAATATTATATTACGATATATATAACAGACGTGGAAAACTATACGACGGCATAAGAAAAATACAAGAACTGCCAAATACATAAGATGTTCAAGCGTCCAGTTGAAGAGAATGAGAAAGAAGAAATTTATAATTTATTTAAGAAATTATATCCTCTTGCACTAGGTATCCAAAACACTATTCGAATAAGTCTATTTAAAAAAAAATGGCAGCACACTAAACACTGTCTATTTCTCTTCAAATCTTATTTAAGAAAAGATCGAAACGGTTTGCGTAATTTGCATTGTCATCGGTTTCCCTTATTCCCTTGAAATAAAGACAAAATGTTTTTTTAGCATGAATTTCGTGAGTGAACGTTGCGTTACGTATTTTTTGCCATTAAATTAAATAGAATCTTTCTTGATACATTCTTTTTCGCTGATGCTAAAGAAGATATTAACATAACATTACGATTCCGATTCATTTCAAGACACGTGACAACAATATGGCAAGCAAGCTGGCGGTTCAATTGATGTTAAGTAGTAACTTCCGCCCATGGACATTTGCAACACGCGTAGGGTGACAAATGCGTTGCCACCTTTCAATAAAGTGTACCCCGGCTATATCACTCACCAGACAAAACGCAGAAGTGTAACACTATTCACGACGGTCTACTGTGAGGTCGTGGTTCTTCCCCGAATGGACCTGCCCATCCGTGCAACAGCTAAGACTACTGCGTGGTCCTACCACAGACATTTCTGTATTACCACACACGGCACTCAATAATCTCCATGTGCAATAAGAGGGCTGTTCCAACAGAGTTAAGGAAACTTCACTAAGTTCAAAAGCCCCTATCAAAAGTACAGAATAGATAAATTCCATATCTGTCCTCCATAAATCTTTGAAGTAATTAGTTGAACGAAATTTCTACGAAAACATTTCCGTAAGACTGTTATTACGTCGCCGCTGTTAATTGGATGGCTGTTTTCAACTAAATTAGATCATTGAAATCAGTTCAATTAACTTTCTCAAACATCCTTTATTGTTCTTCACAGCACATTTGCTTCTTAATTTATATTTCTTTACGTTTTACCGGAACTTTGATAATGAAAAAAGTTTTAAAGCGTATCTCATTATTTAGCATTCAATCCATTATCAAATTTCGGCATTAAAACGTATAATTAATTTAATGGTCATCGTAATTAAAGCCAATAAGCGTAAATAGCATCCGTAATCCAGGACCATGTATGTATATGCTTATATCGGAGACTATAAGTATTATTAAAATCGCGGAATACAAACATAATGTTTCAAATCAAAATATCTTTGTTACTACATCACATCCATACATTACAAATCCAAGGATTACAAATCCAACATATAAATCATACAATGACTCAATAATAATGTCACAAAAAAGCTCATTCAATCCTCGGAACAATGAATGTTTTCAAATTCATTGTCCATTTTATATTTAATTTCACATAAGTAAAGTTACATCTAAAAGTACTATACGGTACATGGAGACGACCAAAAAAGTATATTATTTATTCAATTAAGTGTTAGCAAATCCCTATGAAATCTTCATCAGTTATCACCGCAGAATACCAACTGTGCGAGCTGAAATTGATCAGAATAATCTTCACTATTCCTCAAACTAAGCCAAAAGTTAGAAGTATTATGTATTATTTCCATATCAATAGACACACAAAAAATTATCAATAATAATGCATTTATTTATAACATAAATACGGCCAAAAATATTATGTGGAGAGTTGAAACTGTTAATTAAGGATCGCACTATAATAATTAATATTCTACAAAGAAAAACAAACGTAACAACTTGCTATACACCTAATACAGAATAATATTCCAAAGAACGCGATATAGTAGAAATATTTCTACATTTGAGTTACTTATAAACAAAGCAGAAATATGAAACTTTTGGCACACGACATCTCCATAATCCTTACTTTTCTGGGAACCACGAAAAATTCAACGCTGCGCAACAGTTACGTGAAGCACTTAAATTATTCAGCAAAATTTTTCCACAGCCGCACGACTCGTCGCGTCGGACGAAAATTAGATACGGTTATGTTTCAAGTCTTTGACGTTTTCGAACGAAGTGCAAACTAAATAAGAACTCTACGGGCCGCAAGCTAAAGTCGGACAAATTCCGAATACGCTGTGACATTCAGTGCCTTCATTTTAATTAGAAAACCGTCGAGATAGCGAGACAACAATTTGTTCATTTCAGTAATTGAAATAAATGAATGACCTTTAGTTTTTTTTTTTTTTTTTTTTAGTTAACAATAAACTAAATACATAAATTGAAATACATAATATTTCAAAGTTTTATTATTTTAAAACCACACATTAGATGAGGAGTACTTGACGCTGATTTAGTGTTATTTAAATGTGTGTTTATCATTCTCCATATAATATGTCTATTTATTTTTGAATTAATTCACGGTACTATTTAACGACGTTTTCCAATCAATTAAATTATCCTACAAAACAACGGCTGGAAACTGATCACTTTCAATTTTATTAAATAACCAATAATATATCTTTCAATAAATTTACAATCAATATTCCAGGTACCGCTTGTACTGGAATACTTGATCACAGAAAGTTTTAAACCATTAAATAACCGAGCTAAGGAAATTAGTAATTATATGTATTAATATGTAAAGCTTTTCTCTACTTCATTTAAGTATAATAGTTTGGAACTACTATAAAGTTGAAAGAATTAAAAATATATGAAGTAACAAATATGAACAATTGTACTTTTAAATTGAAATCTCATAGTATGAACATTATTTAGACCTCGTGACTACACAGTTAAAGAATCAAATTATAAGATAATCTTGGAAAATTTGTGCGCAGTGATCTAGATAACCAAGTCTTTGTCTATTTCGGCTCATGATGAATCATTTAATTTTTTTTGATGTCTTTATGGTAATGTATTATTATTGCTATTAAAATATATTAGTATTACACATATATATAAGAATCAATCTACTTTAAAATATTAATAAAAGAATACTAATGTGGGAACAATGCGTAGTTCAATACATTGTTCATAAGAAATATATAATTAAAATAGGTGATTGCATTTTTTTTCCTATTAAACTAGTAATATCGCTGAATATATTTAATTAATACCGATAGTTTATCAATGCAGAAGTTTCTATAAATTGAAGGAACGTCAAAATTAAACGTTCGCTCGTATTTAATCGAATCCTAAAAAGGCATAAGACTCCAGGCAGAGACGTGATGTTAAGCAAAAAAAAGAAACAAAAAAAAACAAATGCAGGCCGAAAAACTAGGAAGATAGATAGGAAGCGAGAAAAATAAAATCGCAGCCAGCGACCCGCGCCGAAAGGAGCCGCGCGGAACAAAGGCGTGAGCGAAGCTGAAACGTGTCATAGACAAGTGAGGCATTGGAACATAAACATCGTTGTGCAATGCGCAACAGGGTGGCGCGGAATACGAACGAGCGTACCTGAGGGCGGGCGGTAAAGCTAACAACGCGGCGACACAGCGCGCCGCTCCGCGCGTACTGAGGCCCGAGCCGCCCGGCGGCGAGCCGCGCCCGCCATTTTCGCGGGTGTTGCCACCCCAACGCGCGCAGTACCCGACCGCCATAAATAAGCCCGCCTCATCGTGAGCGCACAAACGAATTGATTCCGATCTCGAAACGACGCGAATCACGGCGATAGGTGACGACGAAACACAAATAGATCGCGCACATTTTATTGACACTCGCGCTTCGATACGTCGGTACTGAACGTGTTATTCCAATGTATCCAGTGTTGATGTAGCCGGCAATTTATTTACAGCAAGCGGCAGACAAAATATTTCTTAAGACCAAAGTATTACGACAGGACACACAAACTCAGTGATATCAAATAAATAATATGCAGCATAGTGTTTAGAAAGATGTCAGAGTAAACAATTGAATGATTGAGTCGTGAAATTGTTTCACTAGTTATAATTTAACCTGCAGCATGCACAAGTACATATGTCACTTAAAACTGCGGTAAAATATAAAATTAAAATATATGAAAGTAAAATTGACTTTCTACTTGACAATTAATATCATCATCTTGAAAACTTGCACTTCTCAGAAAAATGCAGTATAAAATCTACATTAAAACTTTTACAAAACACCATTAACTTAACCATACATTCATACAATCAAAAGAAATTATTGAACAACATAAAAAGCCGGTGAACAATTAATACATTATTTGTATGCTACGACTACCTTTTTGCGGTCGCCCGTCATAAACAAGCCGCGGCAATCGGTGTCATAATGACCGTTTTCCCGTCTGTAACGCGCAGAATTGTTATTGGCAACCCTGGTCGCCCGCCCCCCAACCCTACGACCCAGCTGGCTATAATGAAATGGGGGATGGGGTAGGGTGTCGGAGGCCGGAAGACACTACCCATGCCGGATGGAATCGCACGCCCGCTCCCAATGTGTCCCTTACCTGCATCCCCTTCAGAGCTGACTGAAACCGCCGCTTAAAGATAGAAATAGAACGTAAAGAGGACAATGTGAAATGCACGCATGCCGACTTAAACTTCTTCATAGTGTAATTTGCGCGCACGTTTCAATTTACAGAATTAGTTTAATAGTATAACATAAATAAAAATAACATATTCAGTTATTATTAAGAACAATAATGCATTATTGATTTCTTGCTCTTGCGTGAATATTATACAATGTTAAATGAAACTGTTTTTAGATAGTTCGTAAATTTTATTTCCTCTTAAATACAAAATAAAGTTTTGGATCCCTTACAGATTAGATAGGTATGATAGATCCAGGGCAATTTTTCAGGTATTGAACAGAATAACTAAATATCGAGTAATAAGAAGTTGTAATATTTATATTTAATAAATATAACAACTAAAACTTCTTGCCAATGTTATTCAATTCATAAGCATAATTTATGGTTGCATAAAGACTATTTGCATGATAAATTTCTTGCTACTTAAGTCTTTTTAAAGTCATATTGATAACTTACTCGTAATAACATAATGTAGTACCTACTTAAAATGTTAACATGGTTATTTAGTCACATATTTAAAATTCCTTATCATGTACCTATGTTTTAGTTTATTCTGACCATAATTTCATACGTTCTTCATAAATCAAAAGGTATAAATAGCTTACAAATACATTCATATTCATGCAGTCGAATGCTTGGCGCTTGAATACTCAAAGCTTCCATGCAATGAATTTTAATTAAGAGCTTTACCGGTGACATTGCTGTAGACGAAATAGGTCAATAGGATATCAGATCATCCAATTAACGGTGACTACTGTAAACGGAAATTAACTAATATCCGATACACATGTAGCGCGTATTTCGTCGTATTCGTCACTCGATACCTGTCACTTGGTCAGCATAAAGCATTTCCATTGGAATCCATAACACATTTTCGTTACACCCCTATACATTACAGACTACTAAAGAATACTTGTAATGTAATACTTCTTTATTCCTTTTACGGTTTTCTCTTTTAAATTTTTGATATTCTATATGCTTTCAACATTTTTTATTTGAAGCATAAGTTATTACCATTCCCATACCTTGAAAGGAAAATGTTTTATATAAATGCTTTATTTTATACACTACAAGTGACCTTATGGTTTGAAATAATATATATTTTACCAAACGGACTAAATTAATAGTTTGATAATATAGCTTATACTTTGGTAATAGACATTATTTACTCTAGTACCTATATTGCCCCTTTGCGTAGTGGATAAGAGAACAAAGGGATAAGGTACCCTACCGACAAGCATAAATTATGTGACCAATCGTATTAGCTCAATACATCCGCAGTTTATAATAACCAGTATGTACTCAGTGGTAACAGTTAATTAATTGATTTAACAACATGCTGACTGACCTATTTCCATTGTAATTGCCCAGGCAGAGCTTATGATTTGAAAATAAACTCTGCTGGTGCAATTTGGATTTAAACGTTAACCTATTTACACAATTTTGGAGAATTTTCCGTGGAAAACACGCACGTATTTCAGTCGGGTATTTGTAGTTTCTCGTGAATTTTATACGCAATGAAAAATTGCTTTGTTAAATTTATTATGCGTACTCAAACTACATCATAGCTTATGAGACGATTTTTATGGCTAGAGGGCTTATTTATTACGCCAACAATATTTTTTTTTGTATTTTCTAATTCCAAATCAACTAAAAGCCATTTTGTACGCATTGAAGCACATATTTATAGTCAGTTTGTTATGATTTCGTAAATATTTGATGATTTATAAATTTGAAATAGTACAATTAATTTTTTTATGTATTAAGAGAAATAAATAACATTAAATATTACCAATAATCAATCACCTATGTGAACAGATTTTTAAACACCTTATTTCATTTAATTATATAAATATGCGTATTAGTTGTACATTAATTTAGTATGTATTATAATGTAATTTCACCACATTATCTATTTTTATTATATATATTTTACTAACATTTTATTGCCGATGAAATTAAATGGTTCGATAACCAAAAACCGAAACCTAAAAAAATTATCACTATTATTATTTTATCACAATTTCGACAACAAGTCTTAGACAAAAATAAAAAAGTCTTATAGAGGAAAAGGTCTTATAAAAAAAAGAAATAAGTATAAAGTATCCCACCGTTTCTTCGCTCTTGGTTGACAATGGTATTATTCGAGCGGATACTGTGGCTCCATTGAGACTAATCACTTAAGGATTATTACTCACTTAACGTTCTTCGGATTACCGAGATTTTCAACGATTCTTATATCTTACTTATTTCTAAATATTAGCACACAGTATTTATCAGTGTCATTATTAGCCTTGTAAAAAAATTGAATACTTGCAATATTTCAAAAGTTTTTTTATTTTATGTGAAAAGTTGCCAAACGAGCAGACGGTTCACCTTATGGTGAGTGAATACCGCCGCCCATGGACATCTGCTACACACGAGGGTTGTAGATGCGTTGACAATAAAAATTGGGCTCTGGCTACCTCACTCACCAGACGAAACGCGAAAGTATTTGTCATACTTCCACTTTACGCTGGTCTTCTGTGAGGTCGTTGTACTTACCCGGAGGCGCTGCCCATTCGTGCAACAGCCGAGGCTGCTGCGGGGCTCTACCACCGTACTGCGTGGCCCTACCAATCAATTAAAACAATAAAATGAATTTACTATACGGAAACGTTCAGTATTTTTTTATATGTCGCTAATTCTTTCGTTTTAAGGTAAAATTAAAAAGATGCCGATATATATCATTCATAGTATATTAAGCAAAAAACTCCACGCGGGCTGATAATGTAGTGAACTTTACATACATATATGTCTATCTAATTTTTACAATATAATTTGACGTAGCTTTGTAAGTTTCATATTGTTATTGTGAAAGATATGTATTCATGTAATGCATGATATTCTTTTCTATATCCTTAAAGAACTTTCAATCTTTGCCGATCACTTGACAATCAACAGTTAAAAGTGTGGCAATTTCAATAATCAAAATATAAATTTTACAACTGGTTTTATACACGGAAGCTAAAAAACTAACGTATAAGGTATGTTTTCTTTTTCAGGTTTTAAAAAGTTCATCCTATAATTCGCCTAATGCAACATGATGTACACACGAACCCTCACACTACACGTTCGAATCGTTCCCTTAGGGTTGCTTTTGGGACCCCTGCCATCCTCTCCAATTATCCCGCAATTCTAAGTCGGGGGTTAAGGAAATTCTAAACATTTACACAAGCAATATCTTTGCACAGGAAATATCCAACATTAGTCGGCAGTTTATTTGTCAACAAGTCGAACGATAGTGTAAAGCCATTTATATAATTTGATCATAATAGTGTAAGTGCGTCAGATGAAGCTTTAATAGTCTCGGGACTGAAAGCAAAAACATCAGTTAATAAAAATAGTGTAAAGTCATTTATATTTGACCATAACACGGCAAACATAATAAATAGCGCAAAATAGGAACAAACGGCGAAAAGTTAAATGAATTTCATAGCGTTAGCTAGCGTTCTTGACACCATGCCCCGTGGATTAGGTTTATTAGATAATATGTAATTTTAGATAGATTTAATCTTGTAAATATTAGATCAATATACTGTATGATTTTTAAATTAATTTCACAAATTTAAAACGGCATCAAATAATGTGCATTGGTAAATTTTTATCCCAATATTAAGTTCGACGGTAAACATCGAATTAAAATTAGTTCTCGTGTAAATTTATTTAGGAAATATGTTGTTTTTATGAAACAGTGATGAAAATGTGAGAACGGAAGTAAGCATTTCACCTGATGTTAAGCGATGACTGGTGCCAATGAACGCCCACAATACCAGTGAGGCTGTAGATTTATTGGCAGCCTGCTAGAAAAATGTTCACCCTGGTTACCTCACTAACCGGACGAAACGAAAAAGTACTAGTAGTATAAAACTACCATACACTTCACGCCGGCTTCTATGCAACCGTGGTACTTCTCGGACGGCAGGCTCCTCAGGGGACAGTAGTTCCTGTAGTCCCGGGCTCTAGAATAGGACTAAGGTATCTCCTGCCTGTCGTAAAAGGCGACTAAAAGGGTACAGGGATTGGCAGCAGCACGAAGTGGCCTCGA